GAAAGCCAATGGTGTAACTATCAGCTCCAGGCTGAAGGCTTGAGAACCTGGGGGGACCTGTGGTATAAGTTTGTAGTCCCAAGGCAGGAGAGATCCTGGAGTTCTGACATCCAAGGGCAAGAGGAGAAGAGTGTCCCAGCTCCAGGAGAGAGAGAAAATCCTTTTCTGTCCTTTTTGCTCTATCTGGGCTTCCAGCTGATTGGAAGGTGCCCACCCACACACATCAAGGGCAGATCTCACCTGCTCAGTCCACTGACTCGCACGCCAATCTCTTCCGGAAACACCCTCACAGACATAACCAGAAGTAATGTGTATATATATATACAGTGTGTATATATATATATATACACACACGCACACACACACACACACATATTCTTAATGAAGGGAGGAAATACTCAATGACAATTACATTTCTCATTTCTGTAACTGGTCACATGGTCCTAGCTGGTATTTATAACTACCTTCTCCCTAAACCCATTCTGCATTCTCTTTCCCTTCAATGAGCACCTCCTGGTGGGATGACCCAAATCTTCATTCCTGAAGGGTCTGGGCCATAGATCCTGCCTGGATTGGGTTGTTTTAGTTTCCCATTGACCTTAATCACAGAACGTGGTAACACTAAAAGACACCCTAAGGGGTCTCCTGTATTCCAGACATACTCTTCCTCACCTCCATTGTGGAGTAGTGGTTCAATCTACCCTTGGTATTCTGGATCAGTCACCCCAGCCAACACAGTAACTCCCTTTCTAGCCTGTTGAGTCAGAGGCATGAGGAGCCCTAAGTGGCCTGGTGGCAGTCTTAACTTCCAGTTCAATTCACAGTTCCAGTTCACCACAGTGAAATCATTGTTTTGTCTCCTAATGGCAGCCTTCCTCCCTCTGGAACTAAGATCTCTAGGCTGGCAGAGCATAAAGTTGTGTGAACAGGAAGCAGAAATTTTGCTAGTGGGTCACTAGGGGTAATGGTGAGTGAGGGTCATTCACAAAGTACAGCAAGTCTGGGATAGATCAATGCCTGGATGGGCATTATGGCCTTCTGAATTTGGAAACTGCTTACCTACATCCCTCAGATAAAAATCAAATTTCCTAGTATATGGTATAGGTATCTGGGTCACCTTGTTGGACACTGAGTATGAATAATTTATACTACATAGGAATTGATTGTGTCTATTAGGATTTACTTTGACTCACAGATTTTTGTTTTCTTTCTTTTTTGACAGGTTCCTGGGCAGACCGATCACCACTACATGAAGCAGCAAGTNCAAGAAATAATGCTAGATAGAAACTTTAAAGTATATCTATTTATACAAAATATATAATGTCATTTCCTTTTGAGACTTCTGGTAGTTTTAATTTTAAACCTCAATTACCATTGTTTTAAGACTCAAGATAAATACTAGGGCAAGAAATTGAGTAGGAGTTATATCATTTCCAGGGCATACTCAGGGAGTTGCTTTTTTTTCCTTCTTCTTCTGAATACTTGATAAGACTTAATGTTTGCTGCCTTTTTCTCCTGAAATCAACATATAGAAAAAATACGGTGAAAGGAAATGTGAATGAAACAGGCTATATTTTTAAATAATGAGAGATCATTAATAAAGACTCTATACACAACTGAATTTCCCTGAATATCTAAGAAACAGAACCCAACGTGAGAAAAGCACTTTTAATTCATATCCCACTGAATTGCTGATACTTACAAATATTAAGAATAACTGGAGCCTTTTGCTTCCTGATTTGAGTTATTTACTTACATTTCAGTATAGATTGAAACTTTCCTATATCATTGCTATAGTATCATTTTGTAGTAAGCCTTATCTCGTCCCAGCAATGGCCTACTATTTTTACTAAGAGGAAAACAAAATAAAACTGCTGTTTAGACTAGAGGTTTCTATTTTGGAGGGGTACTAGAAGGAAAAATAGACCAATGAAATGAATGACAGCAACAAAATATTCCCACAGAAATTTAGAGTCTTACCATTTGCTAAAATGCTTCACATACTCTGTGTGTGTAAGAGTGTATGAGTGTGTGTGTGTGTTAAGAGGCAGGATTACACAGATTTACATGTATTATCTCTGGAGCTAGGAGGCTGCTGTTTGAATTTCACATCTACCTCTTTCTAGCTATGTAACCCTGAGCAAATCACTAAACCTTTGCACGTTTCAGCTTTCTCGCCTGAAAAATAGGGATAATAATTGTGCCTACCCTAAAGGTAATAATTGAAAAAAAAAAAAAGGGTCAGTGCGAGGATTAAAACAAGTAAATTTATGCCCAGCAATTAGGACAGGACCTAGTATATGATGAGGACTGTGTAAGTGTTCCATGTGTTTGTTTATGTAATGAGGTTATTACCAAAGAAATTTATTTTCTCACCTCTAAGACTGTTCCTCCAACCTGGTACAGAGGGAAGAAGTCAGTTGTCAATTATTAGTCCTTTTAAATGATATTGTAGGGTGTTATTGGAAATACAGATCCTCAGGGAAAGGAATCGAGTCTCTCCCCTCACTATTGATTTAGGGGTAATGTTAAGAATAGCTTCTGTTGAATAATGTTTACTGTGTGCATAATACTAGTCTAAGCACTATGTATATTATCTCTTTTAGTTATTAAAACAACTCCCTGAGGTATACACATTTATTATTTCCACTTTAAGGTGGAGGAAATAAAATCTAGAAGAAATAAAATAATTTATAGAGTCACGTAGTCCAACTCCAGAGCTGATGCTCATAGCCACAACTCTGCACTGCCTCCTTTGTGTTGACTTTAGTCTTGTACAGAGTGATTTTACTGCAGGGAAAGTAACTGGCCACCTCTGAGGTCTTTCCTGAAACGATGATAGCCATTTTATAGCAATATGCAATGGAATGCCTAACCACCAGTACACCATGTTAGTCCATTCATGAGAGTTTGGATCTAGTGCCTGTCCTCATCTCAGACTTAGGGCTCAGCTATTTGCTCTTCTTGGCGACATGTTGCAGCTGTTTATGTCTAGGGCCAGGGCAAGCTGGGGTGGGGGGGATTAGGGGGATCAGCAGGAATGGCTGGGAGTGTGGAGTGGTGGGTGTTCTGGCTGCTTTCCCTGCTTAAAGTACAAAAAAAATTTTTTTTATGGTTTCTGTCTGAAAAACCATGAAACAAAAAATTTTTTTTTTCTTTTGGCCTATCTGGTAACCTTAATACTCCTTCTTTAGAGGATGTATTAGGGTTTTCCAAAGAGACAAAACAAATAGGACATAGAAGATAGACAGACAGACCGACAGACATAGAGATATATGAGAGGGGATTTATTGGAAGAATGGACTCATGTAATTATGGAGGCTGAAAAGACAACAGGCTGTCTGCAAGCTGGAGACCCTGGGCTGCTAGTAGTGTGATTCAATACAAGCCAGGAAGCCTTAGAACCAGGAAAGCCAATGGTGTAACTATCAGCTCCAGGCTGAAGGCTTGAGAACCTGGGGGGACCTGTGGTATAAATTTGGAGTCCCAAGGCAGGAGATCCTGGAGTTCTGACATCCAAGGGCAGGAGAAGAGTGTCCCAGCTCCAGGAGAGAGAGGAAATCCTTTTCTGTCCTTTTTGATCTATCTGGGCTCCCAGCTGATTGGAGGGTACCCACCCACATCAAGGGCAGATCCCACCTGCTCAGTCCACTGACTCGCACGCCAATCTCTTCCGGAAACACCCTCACAGACATACCCAGAAGTAATGTTTTGTCAGTTCTCTAGGTATTCCTTAATCTAGTCAAGTTGACACCTATTAACCATCACAAGTCCACCCCTTGTCAATTTGGTACTGATATGCATAGCTTTCAGCCATACTTGATCTTCAGATAAGGACAATAACAGGTAATGGTCCTGCCTAACATGATACAACTACACTGCTCACAACCGAAAACACACTAATCCCTTCTCCAGAAGGGGAGGTAATGTCCTTGGTGATGTTTACTCATCTCCTGACATTTCATAATTCAAATACTATGATGTTAAAAATAACAACACTTAAATATGGATATAAAGTCAATACGTCTTAGGTTACATGATAAAGGAATAAGAGAGAAACAAAAAAAAGATATTTGCTTAATATATGTGTGTGTGTGTGTGTATATATATATATATATATATATATACACATACACACGCACACACATATTCTTAATGAAGGGAGGAAATACTCAATGACAATTACAGTTCTCATTTCTGTAACTGGTCACATGGTCCTAGCTGGTATTTATAACTACCTTCTCCCTAAACCCATTCTGTATTCTCTTTCCCTTCAATGAGCACCTCCTGGTGGGATGACCCAAATCTTCATTCCTGAAGGGTCTGGGCCATTCATAGATCCTGCCTGGATTGGGTTGTTTTAGTTTTCCATTGACCTTAATCACAGAACGTGGTAATACTAAAAGACACCCTAAGGGGTCTCCTGTATTCCAGACATACTCTTCCTCACCTCCATTGTGGAGCAGTGGTTCAATCTACCCTTGGTAGTCTGGATCAGTCACCCCAGCCAACACAGTAACTCCCTTTCTAGCCTGTTGAGTCAGAGGCATGAGGAGCCCTAAGCGGCCTGGTGGCAGTCTTAACTTCCAGTTCAATTCACAGTTCCAGTTCACCACAGTGAAATCATTGTTTTGTCTCCTGATGGCAGCCTTCCTCCCTCTGGAACTAAGATCTCTAGGCTGGCAGAGCATAAAGTTGTGTGAACAGGAAGCAGAAATTTTGCTAGTGGGTTACTAGGGGTAATGGTGAGTGAGGGTAATTCACAAGGTACAGCAAGTCTGGGATAGATCAATGCCTGGATGGGCATTATGGCCTTCTGAATTTGGAAACTGCTTACCTACATCCCTCAGACAAAAATCAAATTTCCTAGTATATGGTATAGGTATCTGGGTCACCTTGTTGGACATTGAGTATGAATAATTTATACTACATAGGAATTGATTGTGTCTATTAGGATTTACTTTGACTCACAGATTTTTGTTTTCTTTCTTTTTTGACAGGTTCCTGGGCAGACCGATCACCACTACATGAAGCAGCAAGTCAAGGTCGTCTTCTTGCTCTGAGAACATTATTATCACAGGTAAAATATTACATATAGCTTAAAATAGGCCCACTTCCCATGATCATAAAACATCATTAAAACAAATCAACTGAAAAATAATAAAATTGCTTAAACTTTGGGCCGGCCCCGTGGCGCACTCGGGAGAGTGTGGCGCTGGGAGCGCAGTGGTGCTCCTGCCATGGGTTCGGATCCTATATAGGGATGACCGGTGCGGTCACAGCGCTCACTGGCTGAGCGCGGTGTGGGCGACACCAAGCCAAGGGTTGCGATCCCCTTGCCGGTCACAAAAAAGACACACAAAAAAATTGCTTAAACTTTACTGCTGCCTTTTTATTTTAACGCATGTCAGGCAAATCAATAGTTTCTGATTTATCTTTGGGGCATCTTTATAAATATTTAGGTAAAATCTTATGTCTTAGTATTTCAGACTTCTCATACAGTATATGTGTTCATTGATAGACATTTAAGTAAGCAGTAATTGGATTTATGCATTATTTATTATGCTTAACTTTGTACAATGTATACAGCTAATTATAGACTTAGTTCAGTAGTAAAATATCCAAAAAGGGGTAATCAGACCAAATGCTGAAGTAATCCTTTTTATGTTATGGTAATCTCTAATCTGTTATGGAGAATTACCCATGAAATGACAGGGTGATCAGTTCTACACCTGCCTGCTCATCATACTCACCAAAGGAAAAAGGAAAAAGATTCCTTATTGAAATAGACAGTACTCTGGCTTGTGCCTGTGCATTTTTTTTTAAGCTTCCAGTATAATTCAAATGTACACCCAGACCTGGAAGTCACTGAACTAGTGTGTCCCAGTATTGAGGAGAATGGACTTTTCTCAGATGGCTATGAAGAAAGGAAGGGTCATGTTGCCCAGTTTAAGCAGCACTGCCTGAGACTCGGGAGACCCGGATCCTGGTCTTGCACTTAAAGTGAATCACAACTTATCAGAGCCTCCGTTTTCTCCTCCATAATATGAAGATGTAGAACGAGAAACTCCCTTAGGGCCTTCCATTTTATGACAGCCATGTGACTATTTTGTTTTGCTCATCACTTGATGGGAAAAAATACTTGTATAAAGGTTGGTAGTTTCTAAAGGATGATCCCTTAGAAAAGGCCATGCAGTTCTTTGAGAGGAGAGCAGTCTCAGGATTTCTCTCAATGTGTATCGCCTGTCCACCAATGGGCCAGACAAAAAGAGTGAGAGTCTGCCTCCAAAGCCTGGTGTGAAAGGGAACGGTCTTGCACTTAAAGTGAATCACAACTTATCAGAGCCTCCGTTTTCTCCTCCATAATATGAAGATGTAGAACGAGAAACTCCCTTAGGGCCTTCCATTTTATGACAGCCATGTGACTATTTTGTTTTGCTCATCACTTGATGGGAAAAAATACTTGTAAAAAGGTTGGTAGTTTCTAAAGGATGATCCCTTAGAAAAGGCCATGCAGTTCTTTGAGAGGAGAGCAGTCTCAGGATTTTTCTCAATGTGTATCGCCTGTCCACCAATGGGCCAGACAAAAAGAGTGGGAGTCTGCCTCCAAAGCCTGGTGTGAAAGGGAACGTCCACCTCCTCAGATGCTTCTGTCATCTGGTCAGCCTAGTGTGTGGCAGTTTGGGATTAGCTCTCCAAGTCTGACTGCTGGCTAGCCAACTCGAAATCTTTGAAACGATAATTAAAGGATCTCAAAAATTACCACTTGCTGGTGACAAGTTTTGGAGTGACTATTTTCTTGCCTTCATTTTAAGATTCTTCATATCCATTTTGGTATTACAGATTATGGTAATCTGCAGTATGTTATGAGAATTCAGCCTTGAAATTTTTCCTATTATAATGCTTAGTATGATTGTCAATAGACAATGAATTACCTAAGATACCAAGAAGATAAAGGAACTCGCATCCTAATAATATTTGATTATTTTAGTCTAATGTACAGATTATGGTAATCTGCAGTATGTTATGAGAATTCAGCCTTGAAATTTTTCCTATTATAGTGCTTAGTATGATTGTCAATAGACAATGAATTACCTAAGATATCAAGAAGATAAAGGAACTCGCATCCTAATAATATTTGATTATTTTAGTCTAATGTGAGTTTAATTGGAATACAATTTACAAGTGTTTACTTAGTTTTGATTGAATAATAATAAAATAAAATTTAACATTTTTATAGGCTGGGCATTGTATTAATAATTGCTTCACCTGCATCCTCTCATTTAATTCTCATAATAACCCTAAAATTTAGAAGTTAAGGTATTTGTCCAAATTAAAATGATTAGTGCATGATAGAGCCAGGCTTCAACTCCAAGTCTAAATGACCCCTACTCAGAACTCTTAAGCACTAGCATATAACTTAATCATACCTATGCAGAAATTTTCAAAACAGTTTACTACAGTTTATAGTATTTTCCCCCAGTCTGGATTGACCTATAATTTTATATTCCCAGTCAAAACTAGTAATCCAATTTATAAACAGTCTTTAGTTCTACAAAAAAATAAAATAAAGACCAAAAAAAAAAAAAAGAAAAGAAAAGAAAGCAAAATTTAAAGAAAACACGCCAGAACCTATTGAACAAAATACTTAAGGCATTATCAGGTCCAGGCAAGATAGTGCTACAATAATGGGGCCAAGAAGTTTTGACATCTGATTGACTCCGGTATTCGAACCTGCCATTTCTGCCAAACTCAAAACTGATTTGCCTGAGATTCTTTGATATTTAAAATACATTGGTCTCTAATGACACTTACAGAGATAATTTTATATTTTGCTCACCTTTTGAAATTATTTATGTCCTATTTAGGGTTATAATGTAAATGCAGTAACCATAGACCATGTCACCCCATTGCACGAAGCCTGCCTAGGAGATCACGTGGCATGTGCCAGAACTCTTCTGGAGGCAGGAGCTAATGTAAGTACCTTATAAAAACATTAACAATTTCACATCTACTGACTGAACCAAAGTTCTCATTTTGCTGTCTTTTCCTTCTTTCTCAATAGTTTTCAAAAATAGCAGGATAAAAATAAAGCTCTCAATTGCCTCAGCCTTCTCATTGTACTCTAGAAAGAATTTCCAGTCATTGTATAAATAGGTAGCATGCTGCATGTTAATATAAAATATTCTTTAGGGTATTTCCTGCTTTCATGACTCTAAATAGATGAACATCTTTATGCCTATAACATTTGTCTATCTTTTGGATGATTTTTCTTAGATAAATTCTCAAAAATAGAATTACCAATTTTACCAAGTTAAGCCAGCAAAGTATCTCCATCACAACTTCCACCACCATTACGTTTTTTCCTTCATTTTTTATCTTACCAAAAAGTACTTAATCATTGAATTAATTTTTGATACTGGAGTATGTATTTTTTCATCATTCTCATCAGTTATATGCCCATTCCTGTGAATTATCTGCCACATCCTATTTCTATTTATCTCTAGAAGTTTTAAAGCTTTTCTTATCGATGTGTCTGGGCTAAACATACTTTGTCATATTTACTGCCCACATTTTCCCACTTATTTCTGTTAGCAGTTCATATAACTTTTGAAAAAGCATAACTAAGTCAGTTAATCATGTATGATTTGGGGTTTGGTTTAGGTAAATGCAATCACGATAGATGGAGTGACTCCATTATTCAATGCATGCTCACAAGGCAGTGCAAGCTGTACGGAACTTCTCTTGGAATATGGTGCCAAAGCCCAGCTGGAGTCATGCCTTCCGTCTCCCATACATGAGGCCGCCAGTAAAGGTAACTTAGTTATGAGATTAAGTGACAAGGGGAGAAAGTTCCTTCAGTAATGTGCTGTTTTCTTTCAATGAACAACATTGCAGGGGGAAGTATGGGGTGAGCTGCATGTGGGGGAATGGGCATTAAGTAAAAATAAACTCATCTCTACTTCGTGTTGGCAGGACACCATGAATGTCTCGACCTATTGATATCTTGGGGCGTAGATGTTGACCAAGACATTCCTCATCTGGGAACGCCTCTCTATGTAGCTTGTATGTCACAGCAATTTCATTGCATCTGGAAGCTTCTTTATGCTGGTAATTTTCTTTAAAACATCTTCCGTTTTGTCCATACACACAAGCAATTATTTATTTCTCTAAATAAGCTTCTTTAGAAATAATATGTCATTGCTAAAAAGTCCCTATTGTAAGCATTCTCACATATAAGTATATAGCCAGTAAAAAAGAACCTCATTCTTGATAAGTCCACTTCAAAGTTCACAGTTGAATACATAATCTCTATCTTTTGCATACACAGCATTAGCAGACATTTGAGTATGTAACAGAATCTGAAAGCCCTACTTATAAAAGGCCATAAAATGGAGATCCTCGAGGTTGAATATAATGTAGCCAAGTATGCATATATCTGTGAACAAATCCATCAAAAGAAATCTCAGGGATAGTAACCGCTGGGGTAGTGTCATCTTCTACCAGCCATAAAAATTCTTGCACTTTCTCAGACTTAGTACTTTCTGTCCTGCTTATTTGAAAAGACTTTATGCCCCTTTTCAGTTACTTAACAAACCAGTTCCTCATGGTTCAGCTTCGGCCCCGAGAAACATTCCTAAACCTATTAAGATGATGGTGGTCTCTCTCACCATAGGACTGGGCGCTCCATGAACTATGCCTTTTTCTTTTCCTGTCATCTCTTTTCTCTAGCACAATACCTCCCTTTCATGTGGTAGATGCTTAAAATATATGTAAAGTGAGTAAATGGATTTCTGTGCTACTTATTGTTTATGACAGTCATTTGACCCCTGATGTATACTGACATATATTTTCAGTAACCCCATTATGTGTTACTTACATGATTTTAGCTAAGTTATAAACTTCCTGCAAGCAGGGTGCACATCTACTATTTCATTTCCTAGTAAGAGTCTTAGACATGAGTTCCATTGATAATCATGGACAGATTGCTGTTTTCTAGCTATGTTCTCCCATAAACTTAGTATAATAAAGTTTATGCTTAATCATCTAGTTTTTTTTTTTACTTTACTAAGAATATTATTCTTGCCAGCAAGCATTTTATATTGGGTTTAAAAAATATTGAAAATGTGCCATTAATAATTGTTAATTGATTGTTATCCTGTCCTCCCATAAAATTGATACAACTAACAAAGTTTATGTTTTATCTATGGAAATTTTGCTATGGAATATAATTTTTCCACTAAATATTTCATATTTGTTTTAAAAATATTGAAAACAATTACATTTATTGAAATTTGAAAGTAGCAGGAGAGCCATAAAGGAACTCTTAAGATATACTGCTTCTTAAAGACATCATTCATTTTATAGATAGTTTCAGAAACAGTTGAAAGGAACTTACGTATTTTTATTGGTAGATATTTCTTGGTGGTGTAACCATTTATGTCCTAGAAATGGGATTATTGTGTTTTATAATACTAAACAGTATTGAATGACCACCATGTGCCAGGCCTTGCATTAAGATAAAATAACTATGTAATAGGTATTTTAAAATGTAGAGCTGTCTTTTTTTAATGTAAGCATTTTTCAAAAACTCACTCTGCATGCAGATATCATCAATGTGCCTTTCCACTTAAGAGTCTCGATATCTTTATATATTTATTGCCTTAAACTACATGAGTGAGAAGTGGCAGGAAAATCTATATACATTTTATCTAAATAGCTCACATACATAGATGCATGAATTTTCCAAGAAACCAAAGAGCTCTATTGCCTTAAAATAAATGAAAAGAATAAGAGCAATAAGCTCTTGAATAATCCTAAGAGCTATCAGTCATGATGGAAATAAATATGAGCGAACTTAGTCATGCACTGTTTATAATATCAGCTAATATGACTACTTTTGGAATCATTTAAAAATTTTAAATTCTCTTTTTATTATGAGATCTTTGAAGAATACAGAGAAGTATTAGAGCACAACATAATAAAGGTGTGTACCCCCTCATCCAGATGTACGAAGTTTTAAGATTTTATATATGTATATGCATATATGAGGTGTATATATATGAAAGTACATATGTACATATATAAAGAAGTAACTTATTACAGATAGAGCTGAAGTCCCCTTTGCACCCTTCCTCAATTGCCTTCCGTTTCCTTTGCCCACCGAGGCAACTGACTTATCTAATAACTTTCGTTTGTATTTATCATCACATCCCATGTATCTATAGGTGCTGATGTACAGAAAGGCAAGTATTGGGATACTCCATTACATGCTGCTGCTCAACAATCCAGTGTGGAAATCATAAACTTACTGCTAGAATTTGGAGCAGATATCAATGCCAAAAATACAGAGCTTCTGCGACCTGTAGATGTAGCTAAGTCAAGCAGTGTGGAGGAAAGAATACTACTTCAACATGAAGGTAAGAAGAATACAGTGGATAAATAAATATATAAGTGAATAAGTAAATGTCATTTATTTCAAGTATACTTTTTAAAAATAAACAAAAGTATATTTGCCTGAAATAAATGAAATTGAAAATACAGTGGATAAATAAATATATAAGTGAATAAGTAAATGTCATTTATTTCAAGTATACTTTTAAAAAATAAACAAAAGTATATTTGCCTGAAATAAATGAAATTGAAAAATGTTTTGTTGGCATGGAAAGCAATAATGGTATAAAATTTGGAATACTTTTTGTGAAAGTAGTTTCTATCTATAAAGATTTCATGGTGATTTTAATTTTCTTTCTTCATCTTATCTAAACTTTCAAATTCCTTAGGTGCATGATACGTAGTTCTGATATAAAGTCTGCTAATTTATATTTGAAAACATACCACATTTTATAGGGCATGCACCTTCTATAACATGTTGTAGAACATAATCAGGGAATATTTTCACACTTAACACTTGTTCTAAAACAGACTTTCTTGAGCCTGGTCTAGAGATGATAATAAAATTTCCTTTAGCTTTAATATTAAAGCTAATTTGAGTGTACTAGTATAGTGATCACACTGTCCTAGTTTACTACAAAGCATCATAGTATTTTTCTATGTTTTTATTTCATGTTTCTTAACATTTAAAATTTATTTTTATTTTAATTAAATAATACTTTCATGTCTTCTTGTAGCCACCCCAAGCTCTCTTTGCCAACTTTGCCGACTCTGTATCCGAAATTACATAGGAAGACCAAGATTACACCTAATCCCTCAGCTGCAGCTGCCGACATTACTGCAGAATTTCTTACAATATCGATAAAAGTAAAATAATTCTAAATACTTTGAAAATCAAAAATCTGTTTCATTTGCATAATGAATATTTCATATTAAAATATGCTAAAGATAGGGTAAAAGCGATTATGAGATTTCCCAGGGAAGCAGTGAAATATCAATTTTCATTTTAAGTGTACTACTTACTACTATTATTGTTTCATGCGTATTTAATGTCTGTGGATTATAGTATATTTTTAATATCTATATATTATAGGTATTAACTATTCCAATATATCCTCTTATTAATTTAAGAAAAAAAGTGAGAAATCCTCCATTTTATTTCTTTTTCTTAGAATGAAAAAAATGAACTCTCACTAAAATTATTTATATTATATTGTACTTAAAACACTTATATTCTTCAAATAGTGGGCTAACTTAAATTTTGGCTACTGTTATCTATTGGTTTTTAATATTGACATAAAATATGAGTACAGTTTAAAAAGAGCAACATAGCTTTTGAAATAAAAATAACTCTCATTCAGAAAATCCACTATGTTGAACATACATGTGTCATTATAATGGACAATTCATAAAGAAAAATAAATTGCCCCCCTCCTTGCAAAGAACTCACAAATCACTTCTCCACAGTAAATGGACCTGTTACAGAAACTGGTAGGACTAAAAGTCAGCACTGCCTTCTCACCCAGAGATATCTTAACGTTTTGGATATTATACACTTGCTAAGGCTATTTTAAGATCTCCTTCTCAAGAGTAACCTCTTAAGGTCTCTCTTCAGTGCTTTTATATATATTACTCCAGCTTTCTTTCATTTGAGAAATTGTCAGTAGATAGTGGCACCTAAACCAAAGAAAATAAACTTCATATTTAATTGATAAAAAGGCCCTGGGTCATATTCCAGATATAGTTAGGTCAGTCTAAGACTGTAGAAAATGAAAGATAAAGAAACGCCTTAAATTGTGAAGTTTTTAAAGAAAATAAAGGGGGGTGCCACTTACCACACTTGGAGAACTTAAGAAATTTACCCAACATATAGACCTTAATAGTGATGTTACTAATTCCTTTAACACAAAGCAAGGGTTTAGAGTATATTTTGCTAGAGGGTGTTGTATAAATGAAGACATTACTAAACTAGTCCTTTGCAGGGTTAATACTACATTTATTGTCGTCAGCTTTAACTGTACTTAGGTGCGTTGGAAAATATAATAAAATTTTGTGCCTCCTTTGTAATTTAGACTAAATTTAGATCTATTATTAAGTTAGAAATAAGATAACCAAGATACAACTTGCATAAAGTAAAAGAAAATATTTTGAGGAGCTTTATAAATTCATTAAATTTTGATAAAGTAAATATTTTGACCACTATTTTAACAACTTAGGGCCTATTTTCTTTTTTCTTTTTTTCCTTTTTGTCTTTTTTACTGACCGGTAACGGGATTGCAACCCTCAGTGTCACACCCACACCGGGGACCGGCAACGGGATCGCAACGCTCGGTGTTGCACCCGCACCGCGCTCAGCCAGTGAGCGGGAACTGGTTTCCACATGGGATCCGAACCCTCGGCGGGAGCGCCGCCGCGCTCCCAAGCGGCGCACTCTCCAGTGCGCCACCAGGCCGGCCCAGGGCCTATTTTCTTCTCCTCTTAGTTTGTGGCAAACTCCCAGATTATGGGAAAATAAACTATTACTATATGTAACCCCAAAGTCACGAAGTTTGCATTTTTGGAAAAATAAATCATTTGTTTAGATTTTTAAAAATAGAAATAAAACTGTTTATTAAACAATGACTTCTCTGTGACCAGGGACTTTTACAGAATGTGTTTTATAGAATATCTCAGTCTAACACATTTTTAATGGCCTCGTGAATAATATGATTAAAATGGAGTTTTATTATGGAATAGCATCATTAAATATAATTAGATATTAAAGCTGGCTTTTGGTAAAACAGGCTTCTACTAGTATTTTCTTTGCAGTAGAGGTAAAGTCTTAGATTGTAAGAGTAATGCAATATATTCCTCTTCATTGGTCTTTTGCCAATAAGAGAGTAAATATCAAATGTTAAAATGGACACTGTAAAATTATAGTACTCGTATATCTGTATCTTAGCTTGAGTATGATTGTCTTACCAAAGAAGTGTTCTAATTTAAATGTATCATATGTTTGTTAATATATGAAAGTGTGATTATTATCCCTTGGAATAAAACACTTTTTTTCCTGTTGTAATTAGTATTTTATTTTAAACTGGAAGGCAATGGAAAATATGATTTAACTGCATTATTTTTTTTTTTTACCATCAGTTTGCAAATCATTAAATCATGGGTATTTAGTGTAGTGCAGAATAAACATAGATACTTCAGAGGCCTTCTAATCCAAAACATACTTTATATTTATATACACTGAGGTCCAAAAACAAAATTCAGCAAAGGCAAAGAACAACACTTAGTATCTGACATAAAATTAAAGAAATATAGTGAGATAATTACTGTGGTTAGGCACTGTTGAATCATTTACTTTGGAGGAAAAAGTATTTAATTTCTATTATTTTTTATAACTACAGCATGTATTTAATATTTCTGAGAAAATAAATAGAAACATAGTGTAAAAGGAGAGCCTCTTCACAACAGAAGGTCTGAATACACCTACTGATGCTTGCATTGTTCCATAACAACCCTGAACCGAACTGTTACCCATCTACAAAATAACTTCAGAAATTATCCTCTTTTATCATTCCCACTTCTTACTGTACTTTCTTTATCTCTTTAGTCTTGCTGTCATTTATAACTTATTTTAAGGCTTGCCCTTTCTTTTAAAAATTTGAGTAAACATTCTCAAATATTCAGGATTGATGGAATGAAATTTATTAAGAAAATTTAGGTGAGTTACTAGTTCCCCATCTGCTCTATGACCTTAAAGAAGCCACTTCAGCTCTGTAGTTCTCAGTTTTCTCATTTTTTTAAGTGATGGATTTCTTCCCATTGTGAATTCTATGTTCAAATTTTCAATGTGTCTTTAATAAGTAATTTGGGGGTCCAAATATGTTTTTAAAAATATTTTTGGGTCTACGAAAAGCTTATATTGTGGGTACAGATTTTATAAATCAAATATTCAGGTTTGCAAAAAGCCAATTTTGTTATTCTAAAGAGAACTTAATTTTTATCTCGAGCTTCACTTTCACCAAGTGAAATCTGGTTATTTCTGGATAAACTCTGTCAAGTCAGAGATTTCTCTGTCTCTTCAGATATACTTTTCAGATGACCTCAGTCAATTCAAGCCTGTCTCTTCCCACTCCATTTCTTCCTGGGCTGGCATCTAAATTCCAGAAGACTTCTGTGAAATCCACTTTTCAGTGGGACTGTGCATCTGCCAGCGTCTGTCCTCTGGGAGACAAGCATGTCAGGAGAGAGAATGTTAGGCCGATGATCTGGGGCAGAGATCAGGAGACAGATCACAAAGGGTCTTTATGTGATTTTAGAAAGCTCACAATATGAACGTCAAAATCAGACGATTCTGGCAGAACACATCTTGCCTTCTTGCCTTTACAAATGCTGTTCCCTCTGCCTGGAACACATCCTACTCCATCTTCGATCTTATTTCTGCTGCATTGCCACAACAATTAGCTAAAAAGTTACTCACTCAAGTGTGAAAATGTACCCCAAAAGACATGCAAAATGGACTCTCTGTGGCTGAAAGAGATGTTCAAATTGCTAACAGAACCAAATGGCCACAGTGGGAAGGAAAGGACAGATATATTTCTCAGCCTACAAGTATGTATCTTACTGTTATAAGGTTTTCTTTTCTGTAATTAAACAAAGACAGCTCTCAGAAGATCAGGCCAAATCAGCCATAGCTGGGAATTCTACACTGACCTTCAATATGATCACCTGTTACCAGCAACCGACCCCCTCCTTCTCATTCTTGGAGGCCTGCAGTGTCCCCAATTAGATGGAAAACAGACTCCAAGGACATTTTTCTCCTTCTTTGATAAGAGAGGCCACCTCAAAACCAGCCTTGGCCAGCCTTAGAGCCTGCACAATAGCACACCTTTGTGATGTGTTCACTCACTGCGCATGTGTGCAGCCTTCTCCATAAACACTCATAGCATTCCTCTAAGCTCACTGAATATGCATGTAAACCTGGTCTCGGGAGGCATAAATATCGCCTTCCTCCTTTGTTCTCTGGAGTGCTTGACTTTGGCCCAGCCAGAGCCTGTGCTCTTCAATCTGCAGATTGCTTTTTTCTCCTCTGTTTTTTTTTTAACCTCTCTCTGGAAAATAAAGTCTCCTTCTTCTCTTAGCGGATGGATTCTGTCGTCCTCTTTTCTGTGAACACAAGAAATATTCCTCACCCTCCAGTCTGGGTTGCTCACCAGTCTGTTCTCTTTGGAACCCTGTGCAGGCCTCTAACCACACTCATAATACTATAGAATAAACTTGTGTCTGCTTTCTGTCTTCTCCACAGACTCCGAGTTTATTGCAGGCTGAACTGTGTCAAAATCACAACTTCTTCCTCATCAGTCCAAGATTAATCTACATCTCTTCCCCTCAAGAGCCATCACATGCCTCTTCAATTAGCTTGAAACACAAAAGTTTTTTCTTTCTTCCCCCTGGGGTGTATGATTGTATGTGGAAAGATAGCACCCTTCCTCCCAGACTGGGAACAAGAGAAAGGAGATGTTAAACTAATTCAGCTGCTTCCTTAATCGTTCCCCTGTTGCAAAGATTGAAGTTAAGGATGCCATTGACCAGGAGAGTGACTCTGTCATTTGGAGTGGAGACATCTGAGGAATTTGGAATATGTGATCCCAGGTCCTTAGGAACAGTTACCACTGAGCTCTCCCTTACTCTTTCTCTACTGCAGGGTGATGTTAGATGACAATTTTTCCCATGAAGATTGAAATCTAAGGTTAGAATGCAACCTAAATTCTAAAGTCATAGTAGGATGGCTTCTCAAGGACACTATCAAAAAAATAAATCCACTCAAAAGTTATTCATCTTTACTGAGCAACATATGCCTGAAAATTTGTCACACTTACAGCCATTGCCAATTCCAGCACATGCAACATGAATCATGCCACCCCCTCTGTAGATGATTAGGCATTTCCCCCAAGAGCAGACAGGTGACATGTTGTGTGGCATGGTATGAAAGACGAGCTGGGCCAATGAGATTCTCTGATGTAAGATACTGGGGAAAAAATGCCACAGAGAAATTAACAGAGGAGTATGAGCCATAACAAATGATATGAGATAGAAATACCATAAGAACAAGATTGCAAGGGCATGAGAGAGAGAGAGATCCAGAGAGCCACAGAGTTTTACTGATGGTGGGCTTCAGCACAGAAAGCAGAGCCTTTGACTGTGAGAGCAGACTTTTCATGGACTTTCTTTCTTCGCCTGTCTGCTATTCCACCAGTCTGGGGCAGCCCAACCTGAGGCCAATGGCCACAGCAGCAGTAAATAGGAGAATCACAGAACTTTCAGAGTCAGCAGAACACCAAACTGCAGAACCCTGAACACAAACTGT